GCACAAAAGATTTTTTGCTATTTTTTTACCAGATATGAACTAGGGAAGACCGACGCAGTGTTATAGGACCCTGTATAATTGTTATAAAACGTAAAAAACGAAGAAAGAATGGGAAAATTTCGGAAAATTTCGTCTTTTTTGCATTTGACTTCAATTATCTCGTTATCTATTGCTCTGAGGGAAAATGAAGAGAAATGAATTTGTTTAGAATCGAATTTTCTATAAGATACAATTGGTATGGAACGTGCATTTACAAAAGTTATTGTTTTTTTTTGGGAATATATAAAAAAAGTAATCCCCAAAATTAACAATCGGTTACTAAGCAAAATTCATCCTCTCTTTTATATTATCCGTAACTTGATAACAGAACAACACGGCAACCGATCACACGATCACCATAGGTATCATAGTCATTGATTAATTAAGAATATAAATTAAAAAATCCATGCTTTGTCTTCCAAAGTGAGTGACTCCCAGATTGTCCCCCAATTCTTTCCGCTAGTGGAACCCTAAGCAAACCGTTCCCAACAATTGTCCCGATGATTCTTGCAAATCGACGGACTGTCAAATTTTTTTTTCAAAATCCGAAGAAGTTTGCTAGTTAACAAATGGAATAATTTCCGAAATATAACAAGAAATGTAACTCCATAATAGGCGAACAGAAACGTCTCGGAAAATGTACATTAAAAAAAAATACGTCGAAATCTGTCCGTCAATTTGCAAAAATCATCGGGACAACTTTTTGAAAAGGTTGCTTTGGGGTTCCACCAGCACTTTATTATGTTTTCTGTTCTGTTCCCTTTGCCTTTAGTCTTGCTTACGGAAAACTCAAACCGGCTGGTCAGAAACCAAAAGATCGTTTACAGTTCGTGATTCAAAGGACATGGTTCAAAGTTCATTGATCAGGGTGCAAAGTTCAAACTTCAATATCGAAAGCTCAAAGCTAAAGGCTCAAGGTTAGACGTTTAAAATTATAAAGGTATATGAATCAAGGTTTGAGGTTTAAGGTTCAAAATAGGTTCAATATCCAGCGTTCAAGTTTTGAGTTCAGGATTTAGTATTGAATATCTTGGTTTAAAGTTTACAATTCAAGGTTCGATGGTTTAAATATATCAATTCAAGATTCCAAATTCCATTGTGGTTAATTCCAGGTTTTGAGCTCAAGGAATAAGGTTGAGGTTTATGATTAAGGTTCAATATTCCAGCTTGTGTTGAACTTGCAACTTGCAACACCCAAGGCTCAATGACGTAAGCTTCAGGTTCAGTGTTAATGGTTCCTGATTAAATTCTATAGACCAATGGCCAAAATTAAATTCAGGACGGATATTCGTGATCTCAAATTCAAAATTCAAGATTCAAGATACCACTGCACTATTTAAGGTTTATGGTTTAATAGACCATATACAAGGTTCAAAGCCGGAGGTTCAATAACCATTGCTCACCATGCACAAATACAAGGTTTAATGTTTGCGGTTAAATATTCATGGCACAAGTGTAGGTAATGTCAACGGTTAAAAAAGCAATCAGATCTAAAGTTTAAATTTTGAGGTTTATACTTCAGGCTCCAACGTGCGAGGTTCAAGGATCAAAATTCCGATTTGGGTTTCAAACTTGTAAATATAGATTTAAGATTCAAACCTTAAGGTTTGCGATTCAAGCTCAATCTTTTTCCCGGACTCAAAGTCAAGGCGCAAGATTTGAGGCTAAGATCCAGGGTACATTTTCAAAATGCATAACTTAATACTTAATGTTCAGATTTCAAGGCGATTTGCGATTTGAGGTTTAAGGTTCAAATTTAAAATTTAAAGTTCAAAGTTTTAGGTCAAGGTTCAAATTTTAATGTTCAAGGTTGAAGTTCACATGCGCAAAGTAACCACATTTTCAAGTACAAACCTGAAAGATCGAGATTGAGATTCAAGATATGGGGTTTTTTAACTTTTGGTCCATGGTGTTCGGTTCTAGGGGCCAATTTTGCGTCTAGAAGTGTTCTACGGCTTCCAAAATTCGGCACTCAGGATCTATGATTCAAGATCAAAAACATAAGACACACGATCCGAGGTCAACGAGTCAGGATTCACGGTTCATACTTTAAGGTTCAGTATTCAACGTTCGAAACCCAAATGTCACAGTGCACAATTTGAGGTTTGAGGTTAAAGCTTTAACGTTTAAGTTTCAAGTTCAGATGTACAAAGTTTAATCATTATTCATGTGCCCAGAGCGAAGACAGGATTCAAGGTTCAAATATTTGGTTTTTCGGTTAGAGGTGTCAAATGACCGGTTACTGTGGCGGGCGAATAAAACATCCAGGCGTTCTATTTCATCCCTTTTTTCCAGGTGATGCGTGCTCGACTTGTGTGATTTCTATACCTTTCTCTCGCACCGATTAATTACGACAACAGTGAATAGGTACCCTCTGGAACGCTGGGAATACAAGGGCGCTTATTTCAGGAACCTCTTCACAGAAGTGTATTACGGAGACGGTAAAACTGTAAACTTCGGTAGCTGCATTTATTTCGAAGCATTTAGCCCACCATCAGATCAAGTTTTGTGAATTATTATAATAATTATGATTCAATTCAATTAATGAATGTTATATGAAAAGACGTTACCTTGAAGTATTCCTATGGTATTCTACTCTTCACCCTCTTCGCCCTAAAACGGTTACTAAGCCACCCACAAGCACCTGACCAGCTAAATTACTCAATGTACTATCAAATTCTTTTATATGAAATGTAACATTTGGCGTCGTAGCTCTCAACTAATTTTTGTGTATAACAAGAACTTTTTTTAGAGACAGACTGTCGCACAAAAACAGCAAACTTGCCAATCAACAGAACGATAGGCGGCTACGTTTCAGCGTCCTCAAAAAAAACAACGATTAACGTTCACCACCAAACAAGTCACGATTAACGTCCATCTCTTCTATTTAATACAAATTCCTTTTGTGTTCCATTTTCTACTGTGTCTTCGAATAAGTTAAAATACGCAACGATAAGGGGCTTATCGAAATGACCAGAGATAACACTTTTACAAAAAGGATTAACTCCGTCATTTAACACGTATCTCATTTCTTTACAATTAATTAAACAAAAGAGAAGCGATTATTTAAACGAAATTGGCATTAACAAAATCGCATTGTCTTCACATACCATAATCGAAATTGTGTTCATTCTGAATTGGCGACCAACATGCAAATTGAAATTCACATATACAGGGTGAGCGAACATTACGGTAGTGCCAGAGCCAAACAAAACGTACGCTTAAATAGTTTACACAACAGCACTAACCCATATTTGTTACATGTGATTTTCGGTGCATTTACAAGTGCAATATTACTTTCTTAGTAGAATAGTGAATTAAACTAATCCCGTGACTAATCCGTTTACAAAAACGTAACGAGTACGAGTACAGCAATTTTAGCTTTTACCCTGTAGATAGGATATTTGTCAACTTGACTTTTTCTAAATGTCAGGGCTTTTGTGGCAATAAAATCCATATTTACTGAATTGTGTATAACTTTTAAGACAGATTTGTCCGAAATTTTGTTTCAATGTTCTCTATAATAGTTCTAAAAGCTGAGAATCGGAAATGATTGGGAAATGTGAAAAAATGGCTATAAAACATACTCGGTGATCCAAAATGAGTGTACAAAATTTGAATTTCCCGCAACATTTATAATGTTGATGTCATATCAAATGCCATGGATCACTAAACAATAATCAGAATTAGTAAATTTAACAACCACATCTTCACTCACCAATTCTGTTTTCAAATATTCATTCTAACGTTGCCCGGAGGATACTCATGTTAATTAATCGATCACCGTAAAGTTCTTTTGAGTTACACATGTGCAATAGTTCTGGTTATTTATTTCTCTTCTCATAAAAAGATATGCTTCCTCATCAAGACTTTCTATGTAAATATTCTTATACTTTACAATGCGTGAGCCGTCGTACGTCGTAATCCGAAGTTGGTAATCCGCAATTTCATACCGTTATCCGTAATCGGTAACCCGAAATGTGTAAGTCTTAGCTTGTGTAATCCGTCGTCGGCTCTTCGTTATCAGTAACGCTTAGCCCGTAATCCGTGGTACATAATCAGAAAGGTGTACTATACACCCCACAGTTTTTACTTTATAGGCCATACTCTATAGTCCACGGTTCACTATTCACGAAGGCGTGGTTTGAGGACACAACTTAATTAAATTTAGGGTTAACGTAATTGGGCTCTGCGCTTTATTATGATAAATTAAAATTTATCTCTTGTGAAAGACTAACGGCAACAATTTGTAATTGGAATTACCCAAATCTGCGAGTAGCTAATGTAAATTATATCATGAACAGAAATTAGTTTAGGGTAGTTATAAGAAATTAACAACAGCAGACAGTGAGGACGGAATTTAGCCTTAAACTTAGATTCTTCAGGCCAGTTTAACCCTTAACACCAGTTCGCGTTTCCGTAGCCAATCGGTCCCGAGTACTGCTACTTATCCGTGCGCTCGTAGTGCGTCGAAAGTTAGGAGCCCTGTTGACGAAAAAGAAGTGAGTATAATCTCAGCACATCCGACTTCACCCTTACCGAGAAACATAAAATGACATACGATGCCAATATAGTCTGACCCAAAAGATGGGCGGCGGTGATGTCGTGGCGGGCGGTTTAGGTCATCGGGTTTAGCACACACAAAAATTAAAATGAAACACTGGGCCAAGCACTAGATTGCAAAGGTCGTGCACAGTGTAGTCTTAATTCATTTTAATTTGTTTGTTATTATGAATATTCTCAAAATAATAATTTTCTGAGTTATATATGTTAATTTTTCGAATTGTCATAAATTCTTCGAAATATGATTCAATTTGCAAATCTAATTTTTTAGTTGTTTCCCATAGAAAATCACTTATGCATTTTTGTGGAACTTTTCCACGCTTATAAATTAATTGATTACAAAGCTAATTGAATTTCTTATGGAATTGGGAAGAAAAAATTCGTGGGACCAACTCGTTGTGTGTAGCGTGCGCATCAGTAGATTGTCGTTCAAGTAGTGTAATTAAAGTGGTTGTAGGCAATTCAAAATGACGAAGACTGTGAATGCGCTCCTATTAATTCTTGTTTCCTCTGTGACCGTCTTTTCTTTTAACTCTACCGTAAGTAATTTTCTTTTCGTCCTCGCTCTACAATACTGCAACACTGTTTAGGTCCCAACAAGGGATGTTTTCGACACGTGGTTCTCGCGAGTCAAAGAACACCCAGAATGCGTGAGCTCATCGGCCGTAACCGAAAATGATCTGGATCAATTCTTTCTTCATTACCAGCTTCCATCTACCACCAGCTTCAAATGTTTCCTCACTTGTTTCTACGGATCTTACGACCTAACGCACGAAAATGGCACCATCAACGTAGACGAGGTCGTCAAGGACGTCGCGCGGATTACTTACGAAACGGCGGCCGCTTGTGCCGGAAAAGCACGCAATATACCGGACAAGTGCCAAATAGTTTATGTGTTCCAGAATTGTATTCTTCATGGCAACTCCTTCGAACTGACGGAATAAGTTGTTGCTGTATTGCAAAAAGCAATTTTTTTGTGGTTATCTCACAGTGGGAAGCCTCATCAGTCATCATGTCAAATATAGAAACCGTTGTGAACGTACGAGTTATTGGGAAAGTGGCACTAATAAACAAAACGTGGAAAAGTTGTATACATCTTTGAGAACTGGCAACCGCGCGTTTTCTTAGAACAAAGGAAAAGCTGTCGGTGCCGCCTTGAGAGCACGAATGCTTCTTACGTTGCAGGCATATAGGTTTGGGCTATCGTCGGGAGAGCATCGTGTAGGTGTTTTGTGTTATTTAATTGCAGGTAATAATCGTTGCTCTCCTGTATAATTATGTAATTTATTTATGTTCTGTATACAATATTCTATGTTTTATGTATTACTTTCGTTATTTGTTTTTGAAATTGACATACTTTAACTTCGGTGCTAGATCACACGTGTGAAAAATGCCGTTAAGTTTATTACTTCATTATCATTTTTGGTGTAAATGTTTGCTCAATTGATGCATTGTCTTACTTACATGTTTCTGTTTCCTTTTGCCTTTGGTCTATCTTACAGAAAGCTCAGAAACCAAAAGATGGTTTACAATTCGTGATTCAAAGGACATGGTTCAAAGTTCATTGATCAGGGTGCAAAGTTCAAAGTTCAAGGCTAAAGGTTCAAGGTTAGACGTTTAAAATTATAAAGGTATATGAATCAAGGTTTGAGGATTAAGGTTCAAAATAGGTTCAATATCCAGCGTTCAAGTTTTGAGTTCAAGATTTAGTGTTGAATATCTTGGTTTAAAGTTTACAATTCAAGTTTCGATGGTTTAAATATTTCAGTTCAAAGTTCCAAGTTCCATTGTCGTTAGATTCCAGGTTTTGAGCTCAAGGAGTACGGTTGAGGTTTATAATTAAGGTTCAATATTCCAGCATGTGTTGAACTTAGTTGTTGCAACACCCAAGGCTCAATGACGTAAGCTTCAGGTTCAGCGTTAATGTAAATAGAGATTTTAGATTCAAACCTTAAGGTTTCAAGTTCAATCTTTTTCCTGAATTCAAAGTCAAGGCAAGATTTGAGGCTAAGATCCAGGGTACATTTTCAAAATGCGTAACTTAATACTTAGTGTTAAGAGTTCAAGGCTAATTATACACAGTTTGGATTGGATTTTAAGGTTTTAGGTCAAGGTTCAAATTTTAATGTTCAAGGTTGAAGTTCGCAATTATGCCAAAGTAACCACATTTTCAAGTTCAAATCCGAAAGATGGAGTGTGGAGATTCAAGATACGAGGTTTTTTAACTTTTGGTCAATGGTGTTGGGTTCTAGGGACCAATTCTGCGTTTGGAAGTGCTATCCAGCTTCCGAAATTCGGAACACAGGATCTATGGTTCAAGATCCAAAACGCAAGACACACGATCCGAGATCAATGATTCAGGATACACGATTCCTACTTTAAGGTTGAGTATTCAACGCTCGAAATTCAAATGTCACAGTGCACAATTTGAAGTTTGAGGTTAGAGCTTTTACTTTTAAGTTTTAAGTTCAGATGTACAAAGTTCAATCATTATCCATTTGCCCATAGCGAAGGCTGAATTCAGGTTCGAATATTTGGTTTTTCGGTTAGGGGTATCAAATGGCCGGTTAATGTGGCGTGCTCGTGTATGCACGACTTGTCCCATTTCTATACTTTTCGCCCCACCATCAGACCAGATTTGTGAATTATTATAATAATTATGATGTATTCAATTCAATTAATGAATGTTATATGAAAAGACATTACCTTGCAGTATTCCTATGGTGAATTTCAATTGGATATAAATTACGAATGCTCGATAAAATGCACATTTCTACTCTTCACTCTCTTCGCCCTAAAACGGTTACTAAGCCACCCACAAGCACCTGTTCAGCTAGATCACCCAATAAAACACATGTACTATCAAATTCCTTTATACGAAATGTAAAATTTGGCTCTTTGATGGTGGAAACTCTTCCCTGAGAAACAACTGCTCCTTCGTAAACTGCACAGTTTGATTTACATCCATTTCTATCACGATGGATTAATTGTCTTAATACTCGCAGTATTGAACTACATTTTGTCTATAACAAGAACTTACGATTTTGGAGACAGACTGTCGCACAAAAACAACAAATCTGCCAATCAACAGAACGATAGTCGGCTACGTTTCAGCGTCCTCGAAAAAAACAACGATCACGTTCACCACCAAACAAGTCACGATTTAGCAACGATAAGGGGCTTATCGCAATGACCAGAGATAACACTTTTACAAAAGAATTAACTCCATCATTTAACACGCGATTTCTTTACAATTAATTAAACAGCTTAAACTAGCTCAGTGGTGGAGCGTTGGGCCACAAAACCGGAGGTCGGGTGTTCGAACCTGAGTTGAGGTGAGTTTTTCATCTCTGGCAGAGATGTGAATATCCTTAGATCAGTTTCGAGCATTCTGCCGGCTACTCCGAATTAGGTTTGCAGTTTTGCTAATTCGTAAATACCGGAGTAGTATAGAACAACTTAAGACCTTCTGCAGGGGCACCTCTAAAAATCAATATGCGGATCACTCTGTAATTGGGCGTAAGCCTGTTGAGGGCCTAGAACAAGAGGGACAATAAATAAATAAATAAATAAAAATAAACAAAATACAAGCGATTATTTAAACAAAATTGACATTAACAAAATCGCATTGCCGTCACATACCATAATCGAAATTGTGTTCATTCTGAATTAGCGACCAACATTTAGCGTCTAAGAATTTTGAAATTCACATATACAGGGTGACCGAACATTAGTGTAGTGCTAGAGGACACAACTTAATTAAATTTAGGGTTGACGCCATTGGGCTCTGCGCTTTATTATGATAAATTAAAATTTATCTTTTGTGAAAGGCTAACGGCAATTATTTGTAATTGGAATTAAATTTACCCAAATCTGCGAGCAGCTCACGTAAATCATATCATGGACAGAAATTGGTTTAGGGGAAATTAACAACAACTGACAGTAAGGACGGAATTTAGCCTTAAACTTTAATTCTTCAGGTCAGTTTAACCCTTAACACCACTTCGCGTTTCCGTAGCCAATCGGTCCCGAGTACTGCCACTTATCCGTGCGATCGTAGTACGTCAAAAGTTAGAAGCCCTGTCTACGAAAAAAAAGTGAGTATAATCTCAACACATCCGACTCTTACCAGGAAACATAAAATGGCATACAATGCCAATATAGTCTGGACCAAAAGATGGGCGGCGGTGATGTCGTTACGGGGGGTTTGGCTGTCAGTTTTTAAGGTTTTAGGTTTCAATTGTCCTAGCACAAACACAAAAAATTAAAATTAACCACTTGGCCAAGCACTAGACTGCAAAGGTCGTGCACAGTGTAGTTATAATTATGTTTATTTTTCGAATTGTCATAAATTCTTCGAAATATCATTAAATTTGCACATCTAATTTTTGAGTTGGTTCCCATAGAAAATCACATGAATTTTTCGTGGAACTTTTCCACGTTTATAAATTAATTGATTACAAAGCTAATTGAATTTCTTATGGAATTTGGAAAAAAAATTCGTGGGACAAACTCGTTGTGTGTGGCGTACGCATCAGTAGATTGTCGTTTAAGTAGTGCAATTAAAGGGGTTGTAGGCAATTCAAAATGACGAAGACTGTGAATGTGCTCCTATTAATTCTTGTTTCCTCTGTGACCGTCTTTTCTTTTAACTCTACCGTAAGTAATTTTTTTTTCGTCCTCACTGTACAATTGTGACACTGTTTAGGTCCCAACAAGGGATGTTTTCGACACGTGGTTTTAGCGAGTCAAAGAACACCCAGAATGCGTGAGCTCATCGGGCGTAACCGAAGAGGAACTTGATCAATTATATCAGTATCAGCTCCCATCTACCACCAGTTTCAAATGTTTCCTCACCTGTTTCTACGGATCTTACAACCTAACGCACGAAAATGGCACCATCAACGTAGACGAGTTCGTTAACGACGTTGCGCGAGCTAGCTATGAAGCTACGGCTGCCTGCGCCGTTAAAGCGCGCGGTGTATCGGACAAGTGCGAAATAATTTATGTGTTCCAGGATTGCATTTTTCATGGTAACACCTTCGATTTCGAGAAATAAAATGTTGCTGTATTAGAAAATAGTCAGAGTTAAATAAACAACCTTTTTTTAGTTTATCTTGACAAGTCTCAGCACGTCAAATATACAAGCCGTTTTTAACGGATGCGAGTCGGCTATTAACCGAAAAGCAGAAGCTTTGATGTAGTATAGATTTAGAGGTTCCACCCTGTATATACAACGTACGGCGATGCACATATTTTTGAGAGTTGGCATACGCGCGACTTCTTAGAAGAAGGGGAAGGCTGTCTGCACCGCCTCAATAACAGAAACGCTTTTTACGTTACAGCCATCTTGATTTGAGCTGTCGTCTAGAGAGCATCGTCAAGTTTGTTGTTCATTTAAATCTGTGGAAATTGTCGAATAGCTTGATGTGTTCCTTTTGGCAATAGGATTTTATTGCACCAGAGATGAGTCACCTATTGTACAAGTACAACCATCACGTTCTGCTACCTACTTGCATCCTAACCATTGCTTTGTCTTAAAACTGGTTTTCACCTGTATGTGTATCATCCTTTGTGCATGAGATGTACATTTATCATGTTTCATTATCAATGATGTAATGCAACTTATTATCTTGCGCATTGACAACATTTTCACTATTACTCATTCGAGTTCTTGTCCGGATGAACCCTCTTGGTTCTTCTATAGAATAAGACACTTAAAAATCGCGAGTACCTTAGTCTCCAAAGATCGTGAGTACCCAAGTCCCCCTTACAACACGGTTTCAAATCTGGAGAATAGCCTCGTGGTGTTACTATGTATAAGGCTATAATCGCTAAAAATCGTTACAATCGGACAAATATCGAGAATATCGAGAATATCGAGAATATCGGGAATATCGGAAATATCGAGAATATCGAGAATATCGAGAATATCGAGAATATCGAGAGTATCGAGAGTATCGAGAATATCGAGAATATCGGGAATATCGAGAATATCGAGAGTATCCATAGTATCGAGAGTATCGATTGTATCGAGTGTATCGAGAATATCGAGAGTATCGAGAATATCGAGAATACCTTAAATATGGCATATGACCGTAACGCAACCACTGGAAGGTTAATGAATTCAATTTCTCTTGACTGTTAATAATCCCGAAAATCCTGAAGATGCAGAAGTGTAGAACATAAGAAGAAGTCAAATGTCCAACAAACCTACAAGGCTAAGGACGCTGAGAGAAGCCGTAAGGTCTAGGACATATTCAAAGAAGTCGGAATATCCAGAGTTTCCAGAGTGTCTTTGTTCTGCCGATAACGCATGTGATCTGAAGCATCCAGAGGAGAATCGGGCCATAAACTCATCCAGAGGTTCAAAAAGACCGGAAGGCCTGGAAGTTTCAGAGGGTTCAAAGGAACCAAATGGTAGAGAATATCAAAGTGTGCAAGGTATCCAGAAAAACCGATTTAAAAAAAAACAAGAAATTAAGAAGATTGGAAAAGCTTCGACCAGAAAATCCAGAAAATTAAGCATTCAGGAGAACTGAAAAACGGAAAGCTCAGAAACTTCAGACCCGGAATATCTAAATGCAGAGTCTCCTAGTCTTGTAAGTAACACAGCAGATAAATATGACCTTGAATCATTCCGATCATCCAATACGGTTATAATTCTGGCGATTTAATAAATGTACATGATCCAACATTTCGAAATGACAGCTTCTAGAACAAGGGCTGGAAGATACGCGAGATTTAAATAATAGGAAAAAACCTTCGGAACTGCCAATAGAAAAAAATGTGGAAGAGAAAGAGATATCTGAAATATCTGAAATGTCTGAAACATCTGAAACATCTGAAATATCTGAAATATCTGAAATATCTGAAATATCTGAAATATCTGAAATATCTGAAATATCTGAAATATCTGAAATATCTGAAATATCTGAAATATTTGAAATATCTGAAATATCTGAAATATGAAATATATGAAATATCTGAAATATCTGAAATATCTGAAATATCTGAAATATCTGAAATATCTGAAATATCTGAAATATCTGAAATATCTGAAATATCTGAAATATCCGAAATATCTGAAATATCTGAGACATCTGACACACCTGAAACATCCAACACGTCCGAAACGTCTGAAACGACCGGAACGTCCGGAAAGTCCGGAACGTCCGAAACGTCCGAAACGCCCGAAACGTCTGAAACGTATGAAACGTCTGAAACGTATGAAACGTCTGAAACGTCTGAAATGTCTGAAACATCTGAGACATCTGAAACACCTTAAACATCTGAAACATCTGAGATATCTGAGTGAAACTTCTGAAACGTCTGAAACTTCTGAAACGTCTGAAACATCTGAAACGTCTGAAACGTCTGGAACGTCTGAAACATCTGAAACATCTGAAACATCTGAAACATCTGAAACATCTGAAACATCTGAAACATCTGAAACATCTGAAACATCTGAAACATCTGAAACATCTGAAACTTCTGAAACATCTGAAACATCTGAAACATCTGAAACATCTGAAACATCTGAAACATCTGAAACATCTGAAACATCTGAAACATCTGAAACATCTGAATCATCTGAATCATCTGAAACATCTGAAACATCTGAAACATCTGAAACATCTGAAACATCTGAAACATCTGAAACATCCGAAACATCCGAAACATCCGAAACATCCGAAACATCCGAAACATCCGAAACATCTGAAACATCTGAAACATCTGAAACATCTAAAACATCTGAAACATCTGAAACAAACATCTGAAACTTCTGAAACATCTGAAAAATCTGAAACATCTGAAACATCTGAAATATCTGAAACATCTGAAACATCTGAAACATCTGAAACATCTGAAACATCTGAAACATCTGAAACATCTGAAACATCTGAAACATCTGAAACATCTGAAACATCTGAAACATCTGAATCATCTGAATCATCTGAAACATCTGAAACATCTGAAACATCTGAAAAATCTGAAACATCTGAAACATCTGAAACATCTGAAACATCTGAAACATCTGAAACATCTGAAACATCTGAAACATCTGAAACATCTGAAACATCTGAAACATCTGAAACATCTGAAACATCTGAAACATCTGAAACATCTGAAACATCTGAAATATCAGAAGTATCTGGAATATCGAGAATGCCTGAATATCTGGTGTATCTGGAATATGGAATACTTACAATATCTGGAATATATGGAATACCTAGAATATCTGGATATCTGGAAAGGATGTTGGAAACCTAGAAACTTGGGGGATCTTGATCTTGACATGGTAGGAGGAAGGTTTGAATCTAGTGTCTGGAGAATTTAATTTGCACACATGATTGTGGGATCCGAAAGCACAAAAGGTAGTACTGGGACGTGGAAACAGAAGTAAATAAAACTACAGAATTCAGATCAGATATTGAAAAGACTCAATTTATCTTGATTGCTAAATAATCCAGTAAAGCCAGAAGGTTCGGGAGATGTATAACATAAGATGAAGTCAAAGATCTAGCAGATACAGACGAATCAATCCGAAAAATTTAGAATACCAAATAGTCTTCAAGTCCAAAGGGGCTCAGAGAAGGCCGAATGTCTAGGATATGTTCAAAGTGGTCGGAAACCTAGAGTTTCCAGGGTGGCTCGGTTTTGCAGATACGCATATGATCTAAATCATCCAGAGGAGAATTCGGCAATAAACTTCAAATTATCCAAATCATCCAGAGGGAGTCCAGAAGATCAAATTGAAGAAATCCGAAGGATTAAGAAAACTTAGACCAGAAAATCTAAAACACTCAAACCATTCAGATCTCAAAAAATAAAAATAAGTCCAGAAGCTCCAAAAAGCTTAACGGACCCGGAAACCCCAGACGCAGGGTCTCCTAGTCTTGTAAGTAATGCAGCAGATACATATGACTATCAAAGGATCCAATAAATCCAGATAATTCAAAGAGTTGAAGATTTAGTAAATGTACATGATCTAAAATTTCCAAAGGGTAGCTTCTGGAAGAGGGTCTGGATATTATGGAAATGCAGTACCATCGGAACTGTCAATAGAAGAAGATGTGGAAGAGACAGGACTGTGTGATAGCGATGTACGGAGAAAGAAAGGGAGAGATAGGTCGGAAGGGAAAACGTATGGAAAACTAGAGAGAAATGGAAATAGGGGACTATAAGGAGCACTTGATCCAGATGCTACAGAAAAATTAAGGAGCAAAAAGAGTATAAGAGGAAAAGCCGAGTGAGAAGAGGACGGGGTGAGAAGAGGAGGAATAGGGTAAAAATTACAGGAGCAGATGAGAAGGCAGGGGGTCGAAAGGGATGAGTCAAAAACCCGACATTGATAATATAAGCCACAGATCAAACTAAGAAGAAGTTGAGGAGGCTAATGAATGAGATACAAAAAATAAGGTCTACGAGAGAAAAAGAAAAAAGTGGTAGTAGTACAGGTTTACAAAAGAAGGAGCAAAGACCAACTGAAACGCTATACAAGGGCAGAGTATAGGGCACCTGCTAAAGGACTGTAGAGATTATCTCTGGATTACTCGCGCTTTTTCTGCAGTAGCAGATTTGAAGACGAAACCCGCTTCACATTTAAACTCAGAAGGAACTATCCGTCGGGAAATTGAAACCTCCAAATTACCACATGTATTACCTTACGCTTGTAAATTAACTTATTATGTAAATCATTTTCGTGGGACCAAGTGCGACAAAGTGTATATAAAGGGATGTGGGGTACTAGTAAACTCACTCATGATGAAAGTAATGATGGAGTTATTGCTTATTTTACTCGCCTCCGCAACCGTTTTCGCCTTCAACTCCAGCGTAAGTATCCATTATGTGGCTGCGGTTTTGACAGGTACCTTTTAGATATCCACCAGGGACACATTCAACGATTGGGGCGAAAAAGTCAAAGAGTTTCCCGAATGTCTGACTTCTTCCGGCGCAACCCAAGAGGAAGTCGACCAGTACTTTGGTTTTTACAAGCTATCGTCGACGCGCAACTTCCGATGTTACATCAGCTGCTTGTACAAGGCGCTAGAATTTCTTTCTGATGATGGCCTCAACGTGGAAGAAATCGTTAAGGGCGTCCCGCGTCTTTCCTACGACGAGGCGGCCGCCTGTATCGAAAGCGTACGCAATGTTTCGGACGATTGCGAGATCTCCTATGGGTTCGCCTATTGCATCGTTCATGGGAAGACCTATGATTTTAATGAGAACTAATTTGTTACTGTGTGAAATAGTCAAATAAACAATAATACAGTTTTTTTGATCGGTCAACAGCAGTTGGCAAATGTGAATTGAACAGACCAATGTGCAGACTCGCTGGACAACGAGAACAGATGTCGAGTAGCAACACTTTTTCGCCCTTATTTCTGAACGATACGTATAAAAAAAAAACGAATCCAAAAAGGGAGCTGATTTGCATTTTTCGTCGCCAAAAGATACAGAAACAGTTTTGCATGGGTACACGGTTTTATTACCGAATAGACTGTAAAATCTCGATTTAAAATTCAAATTGAGCTCTTGTTTTTTCTAGATACGCCTAGTCGTAGAGGACGTTTCGGCACTAAATCACTTCGAAGCGAAGTTATACCGGCACAAGGCCACATGGATGGAAAGATATTGTGGGCCGAAAGTCCCTTTGGTATCAAGTCTTCTGGGGACGACTTCGCCGGTACCGCATCACGTCGTCAATTCTGATTTTAGGAATATTGTAATGCCAACTTATTAACAAGAAATTAATTTATAGCACAATAAACCTTTTTCTTAGTCTAATTGACGTATTTCACAAAATACAGGTTTTTCACGCAGAATTGAGCGTTATTTAAAAAATAAAACCAAAAGCCTTTATTGACCAGTGTTTTTTTTTTGTTTTAGGGTTACTTGTCAATCAAAATAATTGTTGTAGCTTACGACAAGTCAAGTTCGACCATTGTTTGATACAGTTCACTGGTGCCAAAGCTTGAATAACCCAAAAATGCCATCGGGTTTACCAAGAAAAAGTAAGCAACTTAGTTCTAATTTTAATCGTTGTGTTGAACGAAGTCAACATAATAGCTAGTGAACGGTTTTAGGCGAAAGTGTATCGCCCTTGCGACGTTCAACAATCAGCTGCAACGTACGTTAATGTTTTTGGAAAAAATATAATGTTCTTGGAAACTTGAAATTCGCGATCTGTTACACAATCTGAAATGCTTTGTGAATTTTCTATTGCTTTTCTTGTTTTTGATAATTTAGTTCGTGCATTTCTGTGGGCTATGCCAGGGTTTTTGCTCAGAAGAAGGTTTTCCTGGCACAGCCTGGTTGCGTGCATAATATGTTTTACACGTTCTCGCCGTTTCTTACGCACAAAATTATGCGTTTTTGTTCAATTTCCTTTCCCAATTGTGTATAAAAATAGCCGCCAGTTTTAACAGCGACTGCTACCCGAATTCGAAAGTACTGTAGTGTATTTAACCCCCCAGGTTCAAGAACACGGAAATAAAGTCAACCCGGCAACGTTTAAAAATAGCCACCCGAATGACTATTCCCTCCAAAACTAAACAAGATCCCGCTTAAATTTGAAAAGTGGTGATCAAACATCTAAGGCAGGACCACCTTACGTTAGTTGTAAATAACGCTATGACCTAAAGGAACGTAAAATGAAGCACTGAAATTGTGAAAAGTTTGTTTAATAATGATCGCAATTATTATTGATTGTAAAAGCTCGGAAATTTAAGTCGAAATAAATTACATTGCAAAAATAAAAAAATGGTATATACAGGGTGGAACCTCTCAGTACCGCCAAACGTCTGCCGTTTTGCTATGAATGTAACGGTGGCGGTGCTCTTGAGTAGGGGGTAGGTCGTGATTACGGTTGAAGTTCCCAACCAGTGGTTGTGCGTCAATCGCCGCATCGTGTTTCGGTGGTATAGTCAGTTTGGTGTAGAGGTTTAAGGCTCGGACTGTAACCTCAAAGATTGTGAGTTCGAATCCCGCAACGTGCCAGTTTTTAGTGGCACCGAGGGAAGGACGATTCTTGGGAGAAGACAGCGACACATCAGACGAGAACAAGGACAGAAGGGAAAGGGCGCCTAGATATTTTCGCTCCCACGTGGGTCATTAAGACTGGTGGCATGATGATAAGTTTCTTTCTAGCACTCTCCGATATTTTAGGAAACAAATCTCAACCACGGGTAGGCCAACTACGCAAGTGTTTATCAAACGCAAGAGGACCCAATCGCAGGTTGAAGTTTCACCCGAGGTTGGCCGACCACGGGTACAACCGGAGTTTGACCCTCAAAATGGTTTTTCTTTTAATTTTGCCTTTACGTCCAAGTATTGTTCACCTTGTTAGTAAAAAATTACGACAAAAACATTAGACAACCTGTTACAAATAACTACCGAAACATTTTTTTTAGTAATTGGTCAATAGGGGTCGTTGATGTAGTGGGTATACTAAAGTCACTAGATATAGAAAGTACCGCAATCATCCGCCATTTTTGGGCAAATTTGCTGCCAACTTAAAAAAATTGACAAATAAAATCTGAATAGCTGTAATTTTTTATAACAAATATAATACAGATATCTACAAACAGGTGAAACAATCCCTAACATTAAAGTTACTAGAATCTGGTAACTTCCGCCATTTTTGGGCAAAAATCATTCGTTCTCTCTCTCTAACACACGAGCCCAATGGATTGCGGTACTTTCTATATTTAGTGACTTTAGAGTATACTACCCCTATTGCAACACTGTCTGTATCGGGCGTTGTATATTAAATTTTTGCGGCCTGTCTTTTTCCCCTATTTTGACCCCGCTGGGACCGAAAATGCTTGTTGACAAAGCGAAATATATATATTAAGGATGACGGAAAATAAAAGAAGCTTTCCCACTTTTACGATACATGGACTACACAACCTTACGCATGGTTCATTTTCTCTCCTATACAACTACAGTTCGTGGTATTGTAGGGATCGTAGGGATGAGTCGCTTTCTCACTTCTCTCGTGTGGAATCTCTGAAACGGAACCTAATTTTTGAACTAAACAAACTCGATCCGCGTACCGTTTTAAGGAAACCCGAATTTCCGTTACGCGCTCGGTTTTTCACAAAACGGAACAAAATTTTTAGGCCCGAAGAAGCGCTCGCATTCTGCAGTACGTTTCTTGATATCGCCTGTTATTGTCAAACATATTTTCGTTCATGTTCGCTATGAAGCGGTACATGTGTTAATTTGTCTATTCTGAACAATAAAAAAAAATGCACGTACAATTGTTTTTTACAGTGTATCAGTTTAAGACATTGTTATATTTGATTTCCATTTTCTCCGTGTGAGACTTTTATACAGGGTGATTCAAATTCGAAGACCACCATGGGGATCTCGAGAACTGTATCAGATAGGTAGGTAGTTTAAATTTGACAACGTTGCGTATTTTGATGCTTAAAAAATGCAGTTTTGAAACTGAAAAAATTCCGACTGCTTTCGGGGATATCCGGAAAAAAACGAAATTTTGCAAAATCGTTTTTATTTTTTACTGAAGTTATTTAAAAAAAATATTTTGAAATAAATGGCACATTATTACGGCCACTTTTTTCCCTCTACAAGATGCTAGTTTTAAGTTTGACGTTTCGTCGTGGAAGTAATTTTTACTTTTTGTGCCATTTGATAAAGAATTTTTTTCTGATTTCGAAAATGTAAATATCATATTCTTTCAATCAAAAATAGTGCTATTAATTCGTAAAAACGCTGCGACGATCTGCCGAGGCCAGTGATGCTCTCCGTATAAAAATCGAAGAGAAAAGCGACGCGCCATGTTTTTAAATGAAAACTGTAGGTCGAAGAATCAGTGACGAAAAGATGACAACGATTAACAACAAAATAAAAAGGTAACAATTCGTTGTTTTAAATGTAAAAAGCCAGGACACAAAGCAAACCTGTCTGAAAAACAAGCAAGCGAATGCAGCGGTCGTGGATGATGTCTGTCTCAACGTGTCAACACCGAAGATACACGACCCAAGCATAAAATAGGGCTTGGACGTTGGTACGACCAGTTCCACGAGCACAAGCTCTCGGTTTCAATACCGAAATCTCCAGATCTACCAGGGGATAAATAAAAAATCAAGAACCTAGTAGATAGTCAGTTTGTGGAACTTTTGTAAACGATGATGAAGAGAACCACTCTGAGTGCCGAGAAACCAACGACGAAATGCTCGAAGGCTCTTCTGTATGTTATGGATTATCCGAATCTCTGGAATCTTCTGAATCTCTTGGTGGATCTAGCCCAATCTGCTAGATGTTTTTGATTTTGTAGATTGTCTGGGTCTTTCGGACCTTCTGAACCGCCTACTGAACCTACATCTGTTTTGGATTGATCGTCAAGATCTTCAAGCTTTGTTGAATTTCTTGGCTCTTCTTGGTTTTCACTTCTTAAGCATCCTTTCTTGATGGTTTAGATCTCTCGGGTCTCTTAGACCTCTGGGTTTCTCAGGATCTTCTGCCTCTTTTGGTGTTCCCGACCTCTAGTTACTACGTCCTGGTTATGGTTTCGGGTTTCTGGTTTTTAGCGTCTGGTTTGTGACTTCAGGCTGCTCATCCTTGGTTTCTGGTCTCCAGTTTCCGTTGTTTTAACTTCTGGGCGCTATTTTCTGGTCTCTAGCGTCTGCCCATAGTTCATGGTTTCTGCTTTTTGGTATACAGTTGTAGGTCCGCTTTTCCCGTTGTTCTCTCTTGGTCTCGAGTTTCGATTTTTGTTCTCAAGTTTCTAGTTACCGGCAATTACTTTGTCCTGATCTCTGAAATTCACAGTCCTTGGTCTCTGTCGTTATCACATACATATAAAAAAAATCAAATGCCATTTTTCATCCACTAACGCAAAATGCAAAATTTTTTGCAGGTTCTAGCATTTCCGCATCTTATAGATTTTGACCTTCACATCTTTATTTCGTGCATCTTCCTAACTTTCAAGTTCTTCTTGACTTTCTAGATCTTTTTGGTCCTATAGATATCCTAGAGCTATATTTCCAAAGTCTGCCATACTCTCAAAATCTATGTTTTCTGTAGATTCTATACCTTCTGGATTTTTTGGAGTTTGAAATCCCTTTGAATCCTCAAGATCCCACAGAGAATCACTCAATTTATCTATTCCCTACATTCAAATTTCTGAAAAAAAGCCTTTCAGATCTTCTGGATTCTCTAAATTTTCTAGATATTTAAAAGTCTTCTGGTTTTTTCAGACCCGCTGGAAGCTTTAGATCTTTCGGGATTTATAGGTCTGGCGTATTGTATGTACCCTTTCTTTTGAATTACCCGGTTACTCTGGATTGATCGTCTGGATCCTGAGGATTTTCAAACTTTTGAATTATTTTGATCTCTTGGATCCTCTGGATCTCGCGGTTCTTCGAAGGCTATCTTCTGAGTATTTTGGATTTCTTGAGTCTGCTAGATCTTCCGGGTTTTCTGAATCGATCTTCTGAATTTTTTTTCGGATTTTCTCGATTTTTGGGACCTTATGGATTTTTGACCTTCTAGACCACGTACCTAGAACTTTGTTGGATATTAATAAGGTGCTTAATCTAGAAAGCAGAAGATTAATTTATGGTGTCGGTTGTCTGGTTTCAGGTTTGTGATGTTGTTTTTATCCCTTGGTTCTATTTTCTGTTTTCTACCGTCTGCCCATAGCTTACGGTTTCTGGTTGTTTACAGTTGTAGGTCGGCGTCTTCCCACGATTTCTTCCTTGGTCGTGAGTTTTCGGTTTCCTTACTCAAACTTCTAGTCACTTGATTTCCTGTGTCCTGGTCCCGGAAATTCACAATCATTAATTTCTGGTACTTGATATTCTCATATAAAAATAGTTTATTTTTCATCCACCAACGAACCCCCTAAATCTAAATCTGCTAAGTTTTCTGAAGGTTCGAGAATTTCCGCATCTTAAAGATTTGAGTCACCTTCCTAACTTCCTAGATATTCTGGACTTCTTGAACTCGTGGATCTTCTAGATATCTTAAACCGGTACCTTCAAGACCTATGCCTTCTGTACATTCTGTACCTCCTAGATTATATAGACCTCTAAGCACCTTTAAATACTTTGGATCTTCAATATGCTAAATGCACTCACTTAATTTTTCTATTACGTGCATTCAAATTTCTAAAATAAATCATTCATTTTGAATCTTGTGTTCAAAGTGTTCTGGATCTTCACAGATTTTACACGTCTGCCGTATTGTCTGTACCTCTGGATTACCCGGTTGTTCTGGATTGAACTTATGATGGATCTTCATGATTTCTTAAATCTTCTGAATCGTCTTGATCTCCTAGATCCTCTGGATCGGTTCTTCAAGATCTATTTTGGTTCCTGGTTTTTCATAATCGATGGATTTTTGTGATTTATGAACCCTCTGGACCTTTCAAATTATACAAGTATTCAGGATCTTCTGCGCCTTCTGGACCTTCAATGCCTTCTAGATCTTCTAAGTGTACTGATTTTATGCGTCTTCTAGATTTTTGAGACCTTCTAGATTGGTTGACCTTTTAGACCATCTAGGATCTTTGGTTTTTTGAAGCCCTTACAAAAATGGTCTATAGTTTCTGGTTTTTAATTTCATTTTTGTTTACTACCAATATCGTCCTAACTTCCTAGACCTTTTCGAGCTCTTAGATTATTTGAACCTTGTAGATCTTGTACTCTAGACCTATTTTTCGCAGTATTTTCAGGAACTTTGTCTTTTGTATACCTACTGGATTTTATAGACACCTTTTATAGACTCCTTTAGGTGCTCTGGACCCTAGATCTTATAGAAACTGGATTGTCAATGCCTTCAAAGATCTTCTAAGTGATCTGAGTTTATGCGTCTTCTAGATTTTTGCAACTTTCTAGATTGGTTGACCTTCTAAACCATCTAGAATCTTTGGTTTTTTAAAGCCCTTACAAAAATGGTGTATAGTTTCTGGATTTTTAATTTCATTTTTTTTATTACCAATATCTTCCTATCTTCCTCTTTTCGACATCTCAGATTACCTGAATCTTATAGATCTTCTACTCTAGACCTATTTTTGGCAGTATTTTCAGGAACTTTGTCTTTCGTATACCTCTGCTGGATTTTATAAACCCTGAAGGTCCTTTAGTTACTCTGGACCCTAGATCTTATATCATTCAAATTATCTACTCAGTGCATTTCAATTAAGAAACGAAATCACGTGATTCTAGATTTAACAGATCTTCTGGATTCTCTGTAGTTTGTAGACCTTTTGTATCTTATGATCTATTTGTTTATACTTCAATGTCTTAATGTATTTCCCGAATTTCCTTTTTTCTTTTCTTCTTTGGACATCTGGTATCTTCTTCATGATCCTTCGTCATCTTTCGAATATTCCAGATCGTCTATTGGATTTTCTGTCTCCTAGATATTCCCAATCTTCACGATGTCCACGATCGCCTAGGTTTTTGAGATCTTCTGGTTCTAGACCTTTTGCGTCAAGTTAAGGTACCCTCTGATATCATATCTACAGGGGATGTTGAATATTAATAAAGAAACATGGAAAGATTTCCGAAACTCGATTTATGGTATTTGATTTCTGGCCTACATATTCTGGTTAACAATAGCGGGTTCCAAATCACTAGTTTCGGTTCTCCACTTTCTGATCTTGCACTTTCGGCTAGGTCTTTTTTATGGTTTTCCACTTCCGATCCTTAATTATATCTTCTTAATCCTCTAGATCTTTAGGACATCCTGAATCTTTTGATTATTCCAGACACGCTAGATCTTTTGGGTCTTCTAAGTATACATTCGCAAGGTCTCCTTACCTCCTGCATCTTTTATTTCCTGGATTGCATTTAGAAGCACTTGATCCTCTAGCTTCTCAAAATTCGTCTGAACTTTTGAGATATTTAAGATCTCCTAAGTTTTGTGGGTCGTCTACCTTTTGCGTTATATCTCCCCAGACTTCTGAGTCCTCTACGTATTTCAAGCATTCTATGGATTATGGATTTCTTGGATAATATAATATTTCAGATACTTTAAATCTAGTAAGCTTTCGGCTCTTTTGAATATTTGGAATCCTACTGGTTTCCCGCATAGTTTGAATTTTTTAGATATCTGAAATCACCTGGTTCTTTTAGGTCTTCTAAATTTTCTGCCTCTTCTAGATCTTCTGGATACAGTTTATTAATTTTCGGGATCGCCCTGGTCAACTGCATATTGTATATTTTCCTGGTATATTTTCGATGATCCTGATTCTACGGATCTTCTGGTTCTTGAGGATTTTCTTCACTTCTGAATCATCGCAATCTTATATGTGAGAGGTTTCACCCTGAATATACAACTTACGACGATGCACACATTTTTGAAAGCAACCACGCAATTTTTAGGAGGGGAAAGCGTTTTGCGCCATATTGTCTTGATTTGCGACCGTGAACGCGTCGCTCCACAAATGTTGTGTTTTGTATCCCGCATTTTATATTTTTTGTGTGTTTCAATCTTTGATTTTGAAATATACTTGATTTAACCGCAATGCAGAATCACATATGTGATACCGTTATGCTATTGTTTGTAATTGTTTACGTTTTTGGTGTAATGCTTGCTTAATTTATGGTTATTGATGTTGATTACTTGGTCTTATCCGTGAAGTAACATTCATTATAAGTCTTAATCATTTTATTTTAATATGTGGAAATTATCGATTCGTTTGATGTATGTACTGACGGGGGTGGTAAAAACTGTAGTCAAAATTGAGTTACGACACCTAATTCCGTGCTTGTCTTTGACATTCAACTGTAGGCTCGAAACCCCGAAACCAGGGGCGGGCTACCTATCTTGCAGGCGCGAGATTATGCTAATTAAAGCTCTTCAGTTTAGAATCTAGAAGAAAGAAGAATCTATGTGCGATAAATGAGTGGCGATTCAATACTTTCCACATATGTTGTTTTGAGTTAAATTTGCCTACAAGGCCATGTAATTTTTCATCTTGCTTTTAACAAAAAGAGTTCATTGCACCAAAGATGAGTCACATCCACATTTCTTAGAATCTTGGTACCTGCTTACCTGACCCATAATTCCCAAAACTTGTTTTTAATCTGTATGTTACCTCTTTAAGTATACCTGCTACTTTTTGTGATGTTATAATTTTATGTTACGCATTCACATCATTACAAACAATTAATTTTACAACACAATTTGATATTAATTTGACTGGTTTTTTTATTGGTGAGTTCTTTTTTTTCCCAGCCTATTTCTACTTTTATTTGGTGAACTACCATTTTCAAAGTTTATTTTGACTTAAATTTGCGAGCTTTTACAATCAATAATAATTGCGATCATTATAAAACGAACTTTTTACAATTTCAGTGTTTTATTTTACGTTCCTTCCCTACTGTGCTTCAGGTGAAAGCGTCCTACCATCTCTACACATAAATCCATGGAAAACTAGCACTTCACTGCAGGCTAAAGGCACCTACCACCACCATCCCCGGATCCAAAGATAGATGACTCATACAATAGCTCACCACCCACATCTTCATGTGGAACAGATCTTTTCAATCATTTTAGCCGTAGAAATCGAATCTGTCTAATAATAGACATTGAAGAAAAACGCTTCTGCAGAAGGAAATGGACTCGGGTTATGCATCTACTGTGTTTTCAAGGATCGCACCTTACACAGCCATTCACAGAAATAAAACATTAAATAGAAAAACCTCAACCACCAATTAACTTTATTTGATCAACTATCAGAATCATCAGCCAATTGCACTTTGTAAATATTGTTGTAATGCGTAAGACAGAAAGCAAGTTCGTACGCTTTTTCGCATTTTTCGGTCGCCTTGTCGTACTTTCCCACACAGACATCGACCATGTGATCGGTCACGTGCTCCACGTCCCTGATAAGCTCGTCGATGTCGATGCTCCGATCGTCTGTGAAAAAGTTAAATCCCTCGTACATGCAGTTGAGGAAACACTTAAACGTGCTCGTCGGGGAGAGCAGAAGCAGGTCAAAGAATTGATTCACTTCCCCCTCGGTTGCGCCCGTCGCTTGGGTGCACTCGGGATGCTCCTTGGCGAGCCGAGCCTTCCATCTGGCGTAAATTTCCAACGTTGTGTCCTAAAATGCAGAATTGACGGTGAGGGTTGGATTGAGTCACTTACGTTATCGTGAAAAGACAGCACCGCTGGAACTGTCACTGCCACTATCAGCAATAGTTTGAGAGTCATCGTTCACTCACTGGAGAATCCCCTGAGCGCTGTTTTATACAGTTCGCACTACACGTGCCTCAAGGTTTATTGCTAATACAATCATGTACAGGGTGTGCCCACGTCCATTCCATCAAATTCCTCAAATGAGGTGGTTGGAGGAATGCTCATGCAAGTGTTCCATGATCAGTCAGTAGGGGACTTTGGGGGGTGTGAAGATCGAAATGGAGGGTTGGTTAGTTTTCCGACTGTATATAAATTTATGCGAAAGGTTCTGCTTCAGTTAACATCAACTCTATCAGCATTAACAAACGTCAAGGTCCGGCGAAACTAACGAAAACAACATTAGCGTTCAATATAAAAAGTACGTGAGAAACACTCCGTTATTACCTTCTTGTGTTTCTTGCACAATCCGATTGTAAATTGTCCATTAATTTTTTCTTGCGAAAAATCTACGCAGATAGTATGATGGATTGCCCTGTTTTCTTGTATCCGTTCCGGGTACACAGAGTAGGTCCCCAAAGCTCCTCAATCAGCACCGCCGCTTTTTCAAAATTGTAGATCAAGAAAGTGCCCTTAAAGTCTAAAAACCTTGAACGCTTAAAAACGTATACCAAAAGACTTCTGCGCCGTTGTAATCTTCCCTGATCCTTCAGAAAACACGTCTTTCCCATCCGTGAACGCTGCAAGTATAATATTTCCCTTGGGAGACCAAAACGGAGCTTAAACCCAACAGCAATTCCTCGGGGCATGTTTAATTTTCTAGCAATATAATAAACGCGGGTACCTACCTGTTTAACTAAATCTTCCATATTCAAATCAAATGAGGCAAAAAATCTTAGATTATGTAATCCTTCCTAGTGTATTCAAAAAACTATCAATAGAAATGTTAAAGAAACAAAAACGGTAATGAACAGTAAATTCTAAATTACTGACAATCACAGACCACGTTCTACAGGACTCGGGTGCGTGAAGTTGGAGTGTCGACCTGAAAGGAATTAAGTTCCAAGCATCTCATAATTTTGTGCTCATTTTGTGCTAATTTGTGCTGCTAATTTCAAATTTTGTGCTCATCACGTTAATGAGTAATTCATTTTTTTTCTGATAACACTCACCTCACAATTTCGCGTTGTAGTGTCAACATGGATATTTTCAAAATTTTGTCCTAATATTGTGCTACTATTTCAAGTCCGGTACTCATCCCGTCAATGGGCAATTCAAATTTTTCGCATGACTCTCTTGAGCTAGGTGGATATAATTGCGATCGCCGTTTTGTGGACAAAATTTCAACAAACATTTGAGATCATTTTAAGGGAATTTTAAAGAATAAAATTTTCCGTCTGTGTGTACGTAAGTACGTACCTATGTACAGGGTAAGTCAACGATTGCGCGGAGTAACTTAATGCCTTGAAGGAAAGATTTTTCGATAGAGTGCTTTTGTATTATGATATGGTTGAATATTCTTCACATTTTAAAAATATTTGGAATTATACAGGGTGCGCCCACAAAGTAGGGCAAGAAAATGGTACATTTTTTTAAATAGAACCCCCTGTATTTGAATGCATTTTGGAATTCTACGTATAATTGTACGTCTTTTTTGTTATATGGTAAATATCCGAAAAGCTAGTCGTTTTAAAGATAATTCGATTTTTAAGAAAAATTGGGCATTTTCAAGCGCCAGTATATTGTGAAAATTATTACTTAAATTTTGATTCCAGGTTTTATATCTTTTCTCCTGGGTTAAGTAAAAGTCAAATAAATACATCTACTATGAAACATTAAAAAATAGCTTACAGGGTATTTTTGGTAGGTCCAAAGTTGCAAAACTTCATATTAAAAAATCTCACTTTTTTTATTTTATTTTATTTTATTTTTTATTTTATTATTCCTCTCTTGTTTTGGGCCCTCAACAGACATGCGCCCAATTACAGAGTGACCCGCATAATGCTATTTAGAGGTGCCTCTGCAGAAGGTCTTAAGATGGTCTATACTACTCCGGTATTTACCTTACGAATTAGGAAAACTGCACGAAAACCTAATTCGGAGTAGCCGGTAGAATGCTCGGAACTGGCCTAAGGTAATTTCCATCTCCGCCACAGATGAAAAATTCACCTCAACCCAGGTTCAAACACCCGACCTTCGGATTTATAACCCAATGCTCTTACCACTGAGCCATAAATCCGATCATAAATTAATTAATTTAAATGGAACACCCTGTATATTTTTCTGTCATCTTTTAGCGCCTCCAAAAACCTTCAACTTTTGATAATAATATCCTATACCTATCTCTGATATTTTTCAAAATATGGTTTTCTTGGTTTTTATATTCTAATCTTAAATAAGTTATATGTATTTTACATAATAACGAGGTGGCCATTCAAAAAAAGGCAATTTTTATCTGTTTGGTCTAAAGCTAAAAACGTATTTATTAATTCATTTTTCGAATAATTCATTTAAGTCTAAAAAATGGAGAATAAATTTGATAGTAAAACCATAAACAAATATCTTGGTTTTCTACTTTTTATATTTTAATCTGAAATAAGTTCTAATTCACATAATAAAGAGGTGAATATGAAAAAAAAAAGAAAATTAATATCACTGACTGGATGACATTAGGGGTTAAATTAAATTTGCTTTGTAGTCAAATGTTTTTACTTATTCTCCAGTTTTTGGACTTAAAATAAATTGTTTGAAAAATAAATTAATCGATATGACTTTCGTTTTGGACGAGATAGATAAAAATTGGCTTTTTTGCATAGCCACCTCACTATTATGTAAATTACATATGTATAACTTATTTAAGATTAGAATATAAAAACCAGGAAAACCAAGATATTTCGAAAACTATCAGAGATAGGTATAGGACATTATTATCAAAAGTTGAAGGTTTTTGGAGGAGTTAAAAGATGACAGAAAAATATACAGGGTGTTCTATTTAAAAAAAAAATTTTAATATGAAGTTTTGTAATTTTGGATCTAGAACACCCTGTAAGCGATTATTTTAATGTTTCTTAGTAAATGTATTTATTTCACTTATACTTAACCCAGGATAAAAGATATAAAACCTGGAATCAAAATTTAAGTAATAATTTTGACAATATACTGACGCTTGCAATGCCCAATTTTTCTTACAATCGAATTATCTTTAAAACTACTAGCTTTTCGGATATTAACCATATAATAAAAAAAACGTACAATTACACGTAGAATTCAAAAATGCATTCAAATATAGGGATTCTATTAAAAAAATGTACCATTTTGGCGCCCTACTCTATGGGCGCACCCTGTATAATTCCAAATATTTTTTAAATGTGGAGAATATTCAACCATATCATAATACAAAAGCACTCTATCGAAAAACCTTATCTTCAAGGCATTAAGTTACTCCGCCCAATCGTTGACTCACCCTGTACATTGTGCGTTGGCCGTTTTCCTAGGTAACGGCTTGACGGTTTTTGTTCAAAGGTTGTTATTTTGCTATACATTGCTGTGTGCAATGGTATGTGGTCACTACACCACTCACAAAACACCCGTCCAGCTAGGTCAAAACAAATCAAAATTGAAACATAATTTTATCATCTCTCCTCGTACACATCCGGCATCTGCTAAAAGAAAAATTCTAATATTGACTTAAAATTTCTCAATTTGAGAGACTTGGTGGCCACGAAAGAAATTGACATGAAAAACTCTATCCGGGTGGCACAATGGATTCGAATAAACACAATTAATTGATTGACAAACATTTATTACACAGGATTGGGAAAAAATCTTTTTTAAAGACGTTTTTTATTACTATTGCGGCTATCGATTTCGACCTTATCAGGTCATCTTCAGGCCGAGCGTCATTTGGTGAAGTGAAGATGCATGTAATATTTTAACGATGTTATATATTATATTAGTTGTCAGGAATGAAAAATTAAGTGTAATAAAAGTGAGGTTGTGTATAAGTTATACTTATACACAACCTCATAGTAATAAAAAACGTGTTTAAAAAAGATTTTCTTTAATTCCCAATCCTCATCATACAACACGATTAAAGAACGATGGAACAATACATCAATCGAATTTATTCCAAAGCACAATTAAACAAAAAAAAGCTTATAAAGCTTGTTTGGACATATTACACGGACGCAGGCGGGCAACGAGTAAAATAAGAAACCTTAAAATTACTTAAAGTACTTTTCTTAACAATCCAAATAATCCGACCGAGATTAGCCACATAAGGCGCACTTAACTCACTCACTGTTTATGAATTTATTTGGTCTCAATTACAATAGAATTTTGTGATAAAATAGTTACCCAATTTTCCTGTATAATTAGTCGTAATGACAATTATCAGGCCGAAGAACGTAATGAGGTCTGTGAATGCGATATGTGTTTGCACAGCTTGCAACCTGTTTTAATTTAATAAATTTACTATTCCTAAATATTTTCTATTTTTTGTTAATGGCACAACATAGTATTTAGCACATTTTCCAACTGATGTTGGAAGACGCAATCATGGCCACTTTCTCCGGGAGGGAAGGGGTGTCAATGTTAGTGTTAGACTTTGCGACTCTGATGCTTAAACGTCGCTCAACAACACGTACGCTACTACAACTGCGGTAATCGACTACTCTCTACGAAATCGCCGATGTACTGAAGCATGTCGGAATAAGCTTCATCTAAATTAATTGATTTGCGCCTCTTTATATTTTTCACTCGATGCTCTAATTTAAATTTAGTATTCTCGCTCTATCTAGGTATTTCCTTTGTAAACCCGTTTAGTTTAGATGTCAGTTATTTCTATAGTAGATTTCTTATTTCCTTAGTTCTTTGGTTCGCCACTAGAGGTCGTGATCTTCTTTTCATTTCTGCATACACACTCCCTGTACTTCTTTCCTTCAGAGCCGATCTGGCCATGATATTGTAACGTGATTTATAAATTCGGGTTCGATTTATGTCAATATTTATTAAACAGAACTAAAACACTATAAAATCCGTACAATTTATATCGATTATTTATATCACTCACACTTCGCAATTTATATCAGATTTTCGCGCTCGATGTTTACGTACTCGAT